TATTTTAATCTTCATTCTGTTAAAATAGAGCCTAGTCTAGAGCGATCAATATGTTAAAAATATGTTTTACAAATACTTGATTGATACCTATATTGATACCTATGAAAATGTATGTGCCAAGACGTCATTATTCCATACCCCATGTATCTGATTGCTTCATCAATTTGGTACTTGCATTAATCAAAAATAAATTATTTCGACTTATCAATACAATAAAATATTAAAAAATAATCACACTTTCATTAATTCATTTTATCAACAACCAGGAATCGAATCCGAAACCCCTTGCCGGGAGACTTGCTCGCAAGTCAAAGAATAATTACTAGAAAATAAATTACAAACATACTATAACTAAACTAAACTAAAACACAATCACACTTTAACTCCCTCTTCACTCAAAAACCACATAATTATTACAGACCCAAAATGGCTACAAATTACCACAGAAATATAAATCTACCAAATCTAAAGACTAAAAGCTCTAATTTTAGAGGAATAGTTTATATATAACCTGCGGCGTATCGACACTCTCATTAGTACTGAACGCAAATTTGAAACTAATACAACTTTATACCTATCACACACACACATACACTAATAATATTAAGGGGATCCGGGATGCTGCTCGCTGTACGTTCATATATTAATCTGTAGGAGTTGCCAACATCACCTGTTATGTGTAACCACTTTCATATCCTAGCGATAATAATTATTGGGGATCTAAATATAGTATAGTTTGTAATAGGGATGATGACAGGGTATGAAAATTTTAAATCTAATTAGTCCGTCAATTAGACAATGAAAAAATATTAGAAACGGTTTTTTTTTATTTTGTCGTATAAGAAAATAATACTTAGATAAAACGAATCAAAGTGTAGGAGTGGGAGGTAGCTACGTCATTTTAGAGTATAAATGGTATTCCAAAGTGACATCATGCGATATTTCAAATCAATATGTCTTCGAAACTATTGGTTTCCGTAAGAAAATAAAAAATACGTGTCTAATGTTTTTAAATAATCTTACCAGGCTGACATTAAAATTAAAATTAGTCATCTATTATCCCGTTATTAAAGTGGTATACTAATATTTTATCGTTATTCCGATGAAGTTGTGCTTGTATATCTCCACAAATATTTATATACAAAAATTGATGGCTTAGTGACTGCCTCGTTGGCCGAGTGATCGCAAGTGTGACTGCCGGGCAAGGGGTCTCGGGTTCGATTCCCGGGTCGGGCAAAGTATTACTGGGTTTTTAAAAATAAAATCTCAGTAGTAACAAGGAGTCTGGAAATGTGCCCGGTATATGGCAATAGGCTCACCCCCTATTAAATGGGACTCATAACATAAATAGTAAAAAATTGATGTTACATTGTACAGTGGCATTAAGTGCTGTAATGTGCACCTCTGCCTACCCCTTCGGGGATAAAAAGGCGTGATGTTATGTTATAATGTTGTGATGCCTTAGTCATGAAATCTTATTAACTGCTTGCTTGCTAAAACTGACTAAAATAAATAAAGAAAAAAAATTGTATAGTATCTACTATTGACGAAAACTATTTTTATTAGCATCTACAAAATGTTACGATATGTAAAAAGACAATCATTGTTTTCATTGAATAAACAACCTTACGAAAAGTGAGTACCGTACCTATTATATGAATAGCAATAAAACCATTTTAGCAACAATTCTTTATTTATAGTCAACACAATAAAGCGACTACATTAGGTACAATTTTGCGTAACATCAAATTTATTTTTAGAGCTTTCCAAAGAATCAGCTTCTTCAGATAATCAAATTGGGCCGTTTTAACATTATTGTCGTTTTTTATCATCGAAAAGGTTTTATCAGGGTTGTTTGTGAAGGGGAGATGGCAACCAATATTGACGTCTAAACGAATCTATGTAATCTTGTACTGATTTCCAAGAACGATGAGTAATTTTACTATTTAGTATAAGTAATTCTGTAGAATATTTAGTCACTTTGATGTTGTGAAATACAAAATAAATAATAGTCTGTCAATCAGTCCGTCAGTGAAACTAGGTGAAGCTAGATGCTCATTCCAAAATGTAGATTCGAATGGAGAAGAACTAGCAAGAAACTCCATTCGTTACTCTTTTTAAAAAAGTATGTTCTACAATGTCTCTGATACATATTCCAATACTGTACTTAATTGTGAGAACAATGCAAAGACACGCTTGACGCATTATAGATACTAATTACAAAACTTACTAAAAAAAAATCATGTAGTCTAACTTGGTGCTCACGTATTATGCATTCTGACAATCCATAAATAGTGCTTCTATACAAGAAAAAGAAAATTCTTTGTTTCAATAAAGAAAGAAATGCTCGTTGCCATAAGGAAACTAGATTGTCTACATTATCGTCATGATAAGTGTCATTTCATTATCTTATACAGCCTGTAAACGCCCACTGCTGTACTATGCGTCTCCTCTTCTAAAGAGGGTTTTACCATAAACGCCACTCTTTTCAAGTGGGTTGGAGATCAAAGTTAAACTGTAGTCGGGTCTTCTGAACCCGCGGGAAGAGTGCAAGTGGTGGCAAACGGATTACTGACTGCCTGTCTGTATTACACGGTTCACTTATTACATATTCTGTAGAACATTATTTAATCACATTTACCAGATGCTGTATTTTAAATCAGTCAGTGATAACCAAGAATATTCCCAGTATATTCCCTTTTAAACTTAAGCTACAGCTAAAAATAAAATTAAAACTCAACTTTCAACTTAGCCGTGATCGGGTAAAATAATTTTCTTTAATCCTGTTTCAATCTTTTTCACGTTCACATCTCTTGGCTGGACGCCAAGATGCGCTAAAGGAACTGTTCGTGCAATTATTGACAAGCACAGGATCCTTTCATCCATGATATTATGGTGAACGTACTCGATTTTACGGAGAGCGACCAACGACTTCTAAATGTTCAGGATTACATAATAAATTGTTTCTACAAATCAAATGTTATAGTGAATCGTGATTATATGATAACTTTCGTGAGACATATTGAATTAACTAAAACACAGGCTACCAAGCTGTCACCGCAACTGAGCTCATGAGGAAGAGTCCTGCTGTAGCTCGAAACTAGAAGAAAATTTCACAGTATATTTATATAAGTAAGAACTTTTTAATGCATCGTGATTAAATCCAATACTGAAATATTTTAATTTGTGCAGAAATGAATAGTATTTCATGTAATTTTACATTAATTGCTACCAACACAACGAACAACATTATGAATCACGAAAACAAAGAAATACTAGAGAAAGTGTCGCTACATATTAATGTCATACCACACAATGATAAGACTTTGTTAATGTGTATAAGAGAACGTACATGTTTACCGTTCGTTCCTTATAAATGCTCCTATTTATCAGGACATCGGTAGTGACCTTTTCTAGAACAAACGCGAACAAACATTACAGATAATGCCTCTAAGTTTTCTATTTGACTTGTACATTAATCCTAAGGAACCTATTATTAGTTTCATAATCACAAGAAGTTAGCTTAAGTTTGCTTGTTTTGGGACACTGAACTAACTTATTGTATTTGACAAACAAAATAACAGTAATGCGAACTGTTATGAGTTATGACGTATGAATACCTAAGAATTTAATTCACAGCACAATACACCTCTGTCGAGTTCATATTAACTTTAACAATTTCGTTCAAAATTCCATCTAAAATTTCCAAAGCGATATGACATATTTTTGCCGAGTCTGTGCGAAGTTGTACAAAAATATGTCATCCCATCTCCTACGATTATCCAAGTTTCCTTGTTAGTATTCAGTACGTGTTTCATTCGGAATCAACTTTTAAAGTATTCTTAGCGAGATCTAAATTCCCGGTCACACAAATCCGATTTTAACGAAACACAAAAATACTTGATAAAACTTTCATCCGCGTTAAAAATGCATTTTAAAACTCCGGGAGTAGTTCGCCTTTAATCCACTTGCGAAAGTTTGACCAAAAGCAAATTTATAGTTTTAAAATCCTAAAAGCCGAAAGGCTGACAAAACTCGAAGTGACACCAAATACTGGGCTTTATATAACATCATTAGGCTCCTTTTTTAATTAGGTTAAAACTGTTAATGGAAGATATTTGTTTGACATGTCGTGACCTGGTAATGCGTGAAACCAAATATTTTGTATTATTTATGAGGGGCATATATCAAAGGGCGACCTGACCCTCCGTAGGATGCCTATACCGTAATATGAAAAAGAATTTGGCGTGTATCTGCGGCACGCCTCCCGTACGTGTAATTACACCGTATAGCAATACATCCTATTTAGGGGCTCCGAACGACAATATTGGCATCGAAACGATATTAATACGAATCGTGTTTATTACCTTCAATTTTATTTGTTAGACCCATGTTTTTATTTCGGCCGACGAACAATGTGTGTCCTATGTCTCGATTTAGATTCATAGTGTGTTGTCCTTCTATACATTTAAATACCTTTTGTTGTTTAAGTATATTTATGACACGTGTTGTATCATATTTCGTTTGTGTATATTACTGTAAGTGGAAATACTGCGGTGTCGTTTTCGTTTAACTTATAAATTATTACTTCGAGCTGTATAATATTTTATTAAAAGGCCTTGAAATCTTTGTCTACTTCTTTTATAATTTTACCATAATATTTCCTACGCTTGCTTGATTTATGTGAAAAGATTTCTGATAAAATATTTTTCCTAATATTTTCTAACGTTATGGAAGGAACTTCAGTAGCTATCAAATTAGTTATGGACTAACATTTCTTATCTCAACCTATTAAACTAAAGCAGTTAAGAAAGCTTTTAGAACACTATTATTACCTTCATATTATCCTATCTTGGTAATATATAACAGTAACCGACTTCCAATAATATCTTAGGAATAATTTTCTATGAAAAACTTTTATCGCGACGAAGTAGACAGTAGCGAATTAGATACTATATTTTGAATAACCGTTTTACTAAAGGGTTTTTGTGTTGTTTCAGGTGGCTTGTGAACAAGAATGGAACAGATTACGAAATACTTAATCATCATCGCATCACTAATGACTGTCAAGTTTACAGTGACTGGTAGTAAGAACGAAGACATTGAACCCAGAATGGAAAGACTTTATTATTCACCAGTGTTCATTAACGTTTGCGACATTGTCGATCGACGATCTAAAGTTCACTGTTATTGTGACAGTAACAAGCCCAAAATGGCCACCAGAGCGGACTGCTGGGTATTTAGCGGAGGAATTACTGAAGAGGATCTCATCTGGCCTAGTTTTTCATCGCAATCCGAAATAGAACATCTGATGTTTAACGTAAGGTCGGACGACGCGCTCACATTCATTCCAGCGAAAGCAATAGTAAGGCTGGATAAATTGAAACATCTCTCTATACAATTTGGAACTATAAAAAGAATCCCACCGTACGCATTTACGAACTCTTCGACAGTCAGACAAATTGTGTTAAAATCAAATAAGATCGCCACATTAGAGAAGCACTCGTTTTCACAGATGATGATGTTATCGAATCTAAGCCTGGACGAAAATCAAATATCGGAATTAAAGAGAGACGTGTTTTTTGGTCTACCAAACCTACACGTTTTACATTTATCGAATAACAATTTAAGTCTGATTCATGAAGGTTGTTTCAAGCACTTGAATAATTTAATAGAACTCAATTTGGATTATAATTACATATCAGTAGTGACTAGAGAAATGTTAGAAGGGCTCGAAAACCTATCTAGATTGAATTTGAGGAATAATAAACTAACAATGGTTGGGAATTTGGCATTTAGTGAACTGTGGGGATTGAAAGAGCTGATGTTAGATAATAATGCTTTAGAATATATATCAGAGAGGGCTTTCGGGGGCCTCACACAGTTGAGAAAATTGACGCTGTCCGGCAATAAGCTGACAAAGTTCTACGAGGATATACTGGACGATATAAGAAGCCTAGTCATTTTAGATTTGAGGTACAATATGTTGGAAGCCATCTCATATGAAACCGTTCGACCAGTGGTGGAGAATGACAAATCTGCTTCAACTGCAGTTTATTTGGAAGGTGAGTTAGAACTTTTGTTATTTATTACCCTAATACCGACTATTAAACCGAATATGCGAGCGGTTACATCGCACGACTTTCCATCCGTGAACACCCGTTGCGTATGGGGTTTTGAATATTTTATTCTTTGAATAAATACCATCTAATGCAAAATCCGATTACTTTCGTACCTTTTCTTTGTTTTTGCTCGGATCTCCTTGTGAATACGAGATATATAGAAGTAAGATTTCTTGTATTATTTGCGACGTGGTTTTTATGAAGTCACATATTATTACGAATATTCTGACATTGAGTTCTGTCACAACGTGTGGCCACATTTATTGTCACACTGAAACAAACCATTCACTGTGTCACGTTTCGTGTGAATTTTCGTGTGAATAATAGGTTTGATCATTAGTTAGGTACATGTTACGTAACCGTTCAGTTTACGAAAGTCGATCGAAAAAAGAAAAATACGAATCATTAGCCGTAACAGTTTGAGCCCATTACGAGGCATTATTTAAAATAGGACCAAACAAATACTTAAAAATAACGTTAAAGGCCTTTTTGTCGGAACCTCTTTATGTCTGCCATTAGCTTACATTTAATTTAGTCAGTCCGAAATACGTACACTGACATTACATGGAATAAAATCTTCGTAAGAATGTTGTTGTAATATAGTTTCATACACGTGCCGCCTAAATATGCGTAAGGCCCTTTATTTGACTAAACGTATCCTTAGAAAGTATAATTATGATTTTCAGTATTCGTATTTCTTTTTGGTATTTTAAAGTGAGGTTGTACAATATAGATTCGTTTCCTACTAAAAAATAATAATTGGACTAGGTAGGTACAACCGACCAACTGCGAGTAAAATATCTAGTTTCAAAAAAAAACAACGTTTATATATGGTACGTATTTTTCAGTTCAAACTCAAAAATAAAACACGTATTCAAGGAGTTTCTGCCGTTTGTATTGGGGATAAATTGAAGCGAAAATAAGGAACCATTGTACCCATAAATTTCAGTGTCGCGAAACGGAGAATCAATACGAATACGTACATTGTTAGCGCGTGTTTATGAAACACATTTTTAGAAGGTTTTAGAATATATTTGTATAAATTAAGGCACCGTGACCTCTTCTGTTTGGTTTAAATTAATTGTTTACGCCGTACAGTTATCTGAGTTAGACTTTTCGTTTCGTTTCTGTTTTGTTAATTATTTTTGGTCATTAAATAACCAGTTTTAAACTTATTTACTTTTAACCTGTTCCTATGTGAGTAAAAGTAATATAATACAAATACAGTCTCACTACAAAAATAGTTGTGTATCCAAAACAGAAAGTTCAACGTAACTACAAAATCTATTTCAGCCATAATGATGATCGACATAACAATCGGAACGCACGATAAAGGCGTCTAGCGGCCAATATAGAGCAATACCTTTGTCCGTCGGCCAATATTTTATATCTATTTAGTGTAGGTACGTGTGCCTACGGTAACTTATAACTATCAATTCAATTTCGTAAGGGTCGGCCTGATCTGCGTGGTCATCGGAAACGTGTGAGCCATAGAGGTCAAGTCGGCGCCGCAAACGATTTGAATCGATTATTGATTCAATTCTATATTGCTAAATGCGGGATTTTTTCCAAAGGAAATATAAATAGAGGTCGTTTTCGGACATTGGATAAAATTTAAATAGCCAAACGGAACTGTTAGTGCAAATCTTCCACATTTATTTGTGACTCAGAGCAGATCCTATTGAACCTGAAACTAGATTGTAGTCGTAAGCGAAAAGTGTACGTTTAAGAGTCGTACGTGTTTTTGGCAAGTGCGTACAAAGCCCGGTAAATTAAGTCCTTCCATTTACACGTGAGATGTTAACAGCTCTTCTAGGTTTCAGAAACATACCAAAGGCTACATTACACGAACCTATCTTCAAGTGCTCTTTAAAAGTGCTAGAGGCAAAACCTCGCCTTGAACATAATAGAATTGTTCAGAAATAGCGTCGCAAAGAGTTTCAATAAGATTAACAACGTGTGCACAGCACTCGTGGTGTCAGCGCCGCCAAATATATCGACGGGCGACACTTGCAAATGACGCTTATATCTCAATCGCATTTGTTTGATACACAATTCGGCTCCGTAAGATACACAAATCCTTTTATTTCTTGCGTTTCATAGACATCGCGTACGTAAATCACCTTTCCACCGTTGGCAGGATTGCACCTATATTTTGCCGAGCGACCCGATAAATTTGGCCCGTCCCACCATCGGGAAATAGCTTTTTATTCGCAAACCCGTTTGTTTATTACGTGTTTTGTGTTGTATCGGATACAGGTCGCTTATTTTATTATTCACGAGTGGGTTTTGTGACTTATTTGTTTATTTTTTTTATATTACTTCTCTCGTTTCGCCAGCGAGTTTTATACTCTCTTTACTGTACATAATAAGTTGCGAATGGTTACATTAAAAATTTCAAGACCAACGCGGTCGTAAAGAGAGTAAAGTTTTCGTGGTTTTTGTACTTATCTCTTTTGTAATCATACCAGTCTCATTCGTTGATAAATTCATAAAATTATTGGAATTTCCAATAATTTTATTTTACTTTTAGAATTTCAATATTATGATGTCTCAAGACTATAAGGAGGTTAAAAATCTTAGATGGAATTTTCCTTTCAGTCCTATTGTCTTTTGTGTAAAAAATATGTATTTTGGCTGAGTCATTGCTATGAAAGGTATAATAACATTCATATTAATTTAATTAAGGATCCAACAGTCAACATTACGGTAAATTTAATTCAATTAGCTGCATCAAAGGAACTTTTAATACTAATAATTCACCTTCAAAATAATTTTACAAATTCACTTCCGAGAGAACGATCGTCCGTCGAGTTTCATTTTCTCAATTAAATTTTGGGAATTAGAGGTGCGAGGCTTGAGAATTTCTTAACTAACTGTTAAATAGCCAACCCGTTAGACGGGTGAGCTCCGCTCTTGTTTGCCGGATTATTGCAGCGAACGTTAAAAGATATCGAAAATACTTCACCGTTCAAAGTAATCCCTTCTAGATCTGTTTTAGGTCATCGATCTAGGCTCAACTTGGTTTCAGTCCACGTTCACTAAAGTTGGAATCAAACTCATTCTATTTTCGTTACTAATGACAAGTTCTCTCTGGAATTTGAAGCTATTTTCTATTCTAAATACAAATTAAAATTAGGTAAATCAAGCTTAAACTCATTGGCCTAAATTTAAATCTTCACCAGCTTTGTGAATAGGGACCTAGTTTCGTACAAATAAGGTTTATTTTAGTAGTTCCACTAAAGCCCCACGTTATTTCATATTTCCGTGAAGTGTAACTATATCATTATTTGTTCACAGTTTAATTTGGTTCTCGTGAATATTTTGAACCTTTGACATTTAGTATCCAATCCAAACCCATCATTGGTAAATATTTATTTTAGGTAAACATAACGCACGTACAGTTATTGAAGTGTGTTGGTGAACTAAACTTACTTAAAACCTAGCGTTCATTCGTAAAATTATGTGGTTTATTATACAGGTGCCTATCAATATAGGTAACACGCATTTCATTAGTATTTTTTTCCATTGATAAACGATGCGTCTACTGCCAAAGATAGGTTAGAACTTCAGACTACAGTTCGATTTAGGGTCAACGTTTCCAACATCATATAAATTTTAACTGAATTCTTGCCTACTAAAAACTGTCGAATTTCACTTTTATTCGACAGTTAGGAATATACCTGGTGATTAAAAATAGCAGACAACAATCAAACAAAATAGTAGAAATATCAAGAAAATAAGTTATGACAAACTTCTTAAGACAAATCTACAAGATACTCTCAGTAGACGTACAATCTTTCAAAAGTCTGCATAAAAATCAACAATTTCCAATGTGATAACAACTTTATTGTTTACTTATAAAGTTGAAAATCCTTAAAATTTCATAATGCATTAAGTTAACAGACTGTATCAAATAATTTCTGTTCATACTTGAATATTTCACCAATTAAGGTCCATTTTCCCGTGATGGGAACTGCAGATGATACAACACGTCACTTTGATAAACTAATTTTAGCTGATTGTACACGTACGGTAATGTATGAGATTAGTTTCAGTGATAACGTATTATATATTAGCTTTACACTAAACCTTACCCAAATTGAATAGATGGGTTATTCTGTAATATACCCTAAAGTCATTTAAGGTTGGCTCGTTTAATGGAATTTATACACTTTAATACAACTCTTTCAACAGTGTGTAGTGTTACTAAAGAGTTTCTTGTTCATACGCATCTATGAAATGTACAGCTCAAAATAATTTAGTTTATTTGAAGTTTTGAAACCACGAAATCGTTAGTAGATAAACGTATTTGAATTTATCTCTTCAACTTTAACCAAAATCAGTTGAGCGGTTTAACCCTAAAAAAGTAACAAACTGGAGTTACTTTCACATCTATAATTAAAGGCATGGATTAGCAAAAAGGCTTACGTATCGTCTAACATAATCCATCAGGCGACTAAGAAAAATTGCTAATTAATCCGATAAGCGGTTTTAACGTTAATCGCTTTTCGCTGAAAACCGTCTGAGCATCAAAAAGCTTTAAAGCCTGCAGCCGTTACTTCGCCGATCGTCTTCGAGAACCACTATTTGTCCAGAATAACCCCCCAATGGGGCGTGCCTTCCCGATCGCCATTTTTCTTCCGCAAGCTATCTGGCGGAGGCAGGGCGCTGCGTCGGCTACTCTGATAAATCCTCTGCGGAATGCAAATAAAATAGATCACTGGCAGAAAAATATTTTCCGAATAAAAAAATTCTATTCTCGAATAATTTAGTTTGAATACAAACGGCATTGGTAGGTACTTTTGTTAACCGACTTCGTTTTTTATTTGTGTACGAATTTCGAATTTAATTTTATACTGGGGAAGGTGTTAATTGGGAATTATGGAGCTTGAAGGTACGGGACATTGTAAATTAAAAAGTTTTTTTGTTTCCAAACATGT